GTGTTTAATCTTTAATATGTAAATTAGATTATATTGATGGGTTTTATAATTGATGTTTCATCTTCATTAGAGCTTTGAAGATTGCGCTGACATGAGAAGCGTACCTCTTAAAAGAAAAGGTACAGACCTGAGTGAAGGTGGACCATCAAATAAAAAATAATTATTTCCATCATCAATGTGTTATTGTTTATTATTTGAGTTGAATTTTATAAGTATATATTTAATATCATAATGCATTTAAACTACAATTAAGCTGGCAACATTTTAATAACTATTTTTATATTAATATATAAAAAAATATAAATAAAACATAATTTAATGAATTAATTCTAAAAACATTCATTTTCATCCTGTATCTGTACTACAGTCAGATGATTCATTGGAGTGACTAGAAGAATGATCTGTTGAACTGCTTGTACTTGTGCTGTTTGAGGCTACCAGAGATCTCCTTTTATAGTTCATATTATCTTTTGAATTTTTGAGAGATAATTTATGTAAATTTTCATCATCTTTCTTGTGCTCTGGTTTAGCTTTGCTCTCACTTTTACTACACATTTCCTTTTTATCGGTAGTTGCTAAATTATTCTCAGATTTACTGCATTCTTTGGTACCTATTCTATGTTTAACTTCTGGTGTAGATGGTTGGGCCTCACAAGCAATTTCATCTTCTTCTAATATTCCATCTGTTAAACGTTTCTGAGCTTCTTTGAAAGCTTCTGGATACTGATTGCTGGAAGAAATAAATATATAATATATTTCTTCAACAATATTAAAGTAATTTTTTTATGAATTACCTTAATTTAGTTTTAATAACACGGATTTTTTTAAATATGTAATCTAAATCCTTTTTCATATCAACTAATTGTTGCGTGTACTTTTTAAACTCAGCCCCAGCACTTCGTAACCTTCCGGCACTTAATGAATTGCAATTGATAAGCATTTCATTAGTTTTCTCAAACCGTTGCAGCCTAAAATATACAGCAATGTATATAATTAATATTTGTATTATCCAGTAATTGTTATTTAGCAGCACTGTCACACTGACATTTGCTTCTGAGCTCTGATCATTGATTCAACATCGCCCTGGTTTACAAGACCAGCCAAGCCTTGTATGAAAACTTCTGGGGCAGTGTAGTTTTGGAAGCATTCTATACTGTATTCACTTTCTGGAGTTATTTCTCCTTGCTCCATTATAAGGTTTGAATTAAACATAAATATGTTTGACAGCAGAATGAATGCAAGTTGTGTATTGCCATGTGCTGGTATATTTCTTGGAACTTTGGTATTGCTAGTAGTTTCGAAATGTCCCCTAACTGAATTTTTATTCAAAATAAAATAAGATACAATTTATCTTGTAAAAATTTAAAAGAAATCTAAGATCATATTATAATTATTGTATCATATCATATATAATTTAGCCGTAATTTTGCTATTTAAATTTTCTGGTTTGAACTCACATATTTTTCCTCCTTTTTTTATTATTAATAACATAATAATAAAACAAAAAAATAAATTTTGTCTCTATTATATCATATTGCATTAACAAGTATTTAACATATTTTGAATTATCAAATTTATTTTATAGAGCAGTAAGCAACCTCGAAGAATTACAAATAGGTAATTTTGAAATCAAATTGCTTAATGAGTGTTCTCTTACATATTGTAAAATCTACTAAAATTGGTAGTAAATCCACTACAATGAGTGTAGTAGTAAAATTACTATAAGGTGTGTAGTAATTTATAAATTACTACACACCTAACCTACTATTATAATAACAATGAGTATAGTAAATCCACTACAATGAGTGTAGTAAATCCACTACAATGAGTGTAGTAAATCTACTACAATTGATAGTAAATTTACTACAATGAGTGTGGTAGTAAATATTCTACTACAATGTGTATAGTAATTTAATATCAATGGGTATAGTAAATCTACTACAATGAGTGTAGTAAATCTACTACAATGAGTGTAGTAAATCTACTACAATTGATAGTAAATTTACTACAATGAGTGTGGTAGTAAATATTCTACTACAATGTGTATAGTAATTTAATATCAATGGGTATAGTAAATCTACTACAATGAGTGTAGTAAATCTACTACAATGAGTGTAGTAAATCTACTACAATTGATAGTAAATTTACTACAATGAGTGTGGTAGTAAATATTCTACTACAATGTGTATAGTAATTTAATATCAATGGGTATAGTAAATCTACTACAATGAGTGTAGTAAATCTACTACAATGAGTGTAGTAAATCTACTACAATTGATAGTAAATTTACTACAATGAGTGTGGTAGTAAATATTCTACTACAATGTGTATAGTAATTTAATATCAATGGGTATAGTAAATCTACTACAATGAGTGTAGTAAATCTACTACAATGAGTGTAGTAAATCTACTACAATTGATAGTAAATTTACTACAATGAGTGTGGTAGTAAATATTCTACTACAATGTGTATAGTAATTTAATATCAATGGGTATAGTAAATCTACTACAATGAGTGTAGTAAATCTACTACAATTGATAGTAAATTTACTACAATGAGTGTGGTAGTAAATATTCTATTACAATGTGTATAGTAATTTAATATCAATGGGTATAGTAAATCTACTACAATGAGTGTAGTAAATCTACTACAATGAGTGTAGTAAATCTACTACAATGAGTGTAGTAAATCTACTACAATTGATAGTAAATTTCCTACAATGAGTGTGGTAGTAAATATTCTACTACAATGTGTATAGTAATTTAATATCAATGAGTATAGTAAATCTACTACAATGAGTGTAGTTAATCCACTACAATGAGTGTAGTAAATCTACTACAATGAGTGTAGTAAATCTACTACAATTGATAGTAAATTTACCACAATGAGTGTGGTAGTAAATATTCTACTACAATGTGTATAGTAATTTAATATCAATGGGTATAGTAAATCTACTACAATGAGTGTAGTAAATCTACTACAATGAGTGTAGTAAATCTACTACAATGAGTGTAGTAAATCTACTACACATGGTAGTAAAGTTACTACAATGAGTGTGGTAGTAAATATTCTACTACAATGTGTATAGTAATTTAATATCAATGAGTATAGTAATTTAATATCAATGGGTATAGTAAATCTACTACAATGAGTGTAGTAAATCTACTACAATGAGTGTAGTAAATCTACTACAAATGGTAGTAAAGTTACTACAATGAGTGTGGTAGTAAATATTCTACTACAATGTGTATAGTAATTTAATATCAATGAGTATAGTAATTTAATATCAATGGGTATAGTAAATCTACTACAATGAGTGTAGTAAATCTACTACAATGAGTGTAGTAAATCTACTACAATGAGTGTAGTAAATCTACTACACATGGTAGTAAAGTTACTACAATGAGTGTGGTAGTAAATATTCTACTACAATGTGTATAGTAATTTTATATCAATGAGTATAGTAAATCTACTACAATGAGTGTAATAAATCTACTACAATTGGTAGTAAATCTACTACAATGAGTGTGGTAGTAAATATACTTCAATGTGTAATTTAATATCAATGAGTATAGTAAATTTACTACAATGAGTGTATTAAATCTACTACAATTGGTAGTAAATCTACTACAATGAGTGTGGTAGTAAATATACTACAATGTGTGTAGTAATTTAATATCAATGGGTATAGTAAATCTACTACAATGAGTATAGTAAATTTACTACAATGAGTATAGTAAATCTACTACAACTGGTAGTAAATCTTTCTTCTGCCACTCTCCTCAGAACTTTCTCATTGGTTCTCTTATTTGACCACTTTATCTTCTGCGTTCGTCTCCAGCACCAAAGTTCAAAGCTGTTTAATAGCTTTTGTCGATCTTTCCTAGAGTCCATGTCTCTGATCCTTGATCATTTTTGTGAATGTCGCTTTTGCGCTTTTGTAATGTAGGTTGGGTACTCTATGCACTTTATAAATTCTGCATCTGCAAATCTAGTTCGTTAATACGCGTTTATCTAAATCTTTCCAATTATCTTTATACATTTGCGTGCTTGTTTTACCAAGATGTACCAACATGTACGTACGTATGGCTAAATAGTGAAAATCACATTATTTTTCAATTATTTATCGCTTAGCCTGAACTGAAGTTCCGAGCCGGGCGCAGGCGGCTGAGTTTAGGGCCGGCACATGTGATACGGGGTATTAGTGGACAAAGTTTGCACGAACACGGCACAGATGTTATAAATTCCGTCATAATATATTTTAAACTGTTCGAAATGGAAGCTTATTGAAGGCGTAGTCCATTAATGTCGGAGGTGTAAGGAAAAAATCCTTTAGGTCACAACTTTTTTGAAATGGTAAAAATATTTGCACATGGGCGGTTTAATTAATACCACTTAACTATTGCAATATAATTAGAGTTAAATTATATCTCTATTTTTATTAATTTTTGAAGTTAAACTTCTTTAGGCGCAACTAGGGTGTAAATACGTACAAATGCAACGGAAGTGCGTTACGGCAGATAAGACGAGTGCCAATAATTCATCATTCGCTCTCGATGATATCATTTCTATACGGGTCGATTGTGATTAGTCGTCGCATATGTGAATAGAGATCTGTCGTTGTATGCGTACCGGCCTCAACGTTGTACGCGTACCGATATCAAAGGAAATCGGCAGAGATAAATAAACATTTTAAAGTTACATCGTAGTACAAATCTTGATTTAATGAAAAATACTTGAATCAGAAGAATATTTTACCCTGTCCCCCGTAAATAATTATAATGAAAATAATAAAACAAATGCAGCATTTGCGCCGTGTATGAAACATAATTTTATTGAAATAATTTCTATATTATTCCTAGTTTCTATAAATCTTTGAAGTTATTGAAATGAAGAATATTTTTTAGGAAAAACAGATATTACAGCTGTTCAAAGAATGAGATTATATCGCCAGCGAGAAAGTAAAAAAATCCATCAGTCAATGAATGTATGTTAATTTTAATTACATGAAGTTCTTCAAACCCAATTATTACATGAGTGGAGTTGCGAAAACAATATTTGTTTAGGCGTTGTTTAATAGAATCCACTATGTGAACGAATATTATAGAATTTATTAATCAGCAATTACTTCATTTTTCTAATGAAGGTTCATTTCTAAATGCTAATTACAATGACAAACCGATCATGTCATATTTGAAGTATGACTTTAATTACATTATTGTTTTTAAATATTATACATATTTTTAATGCTATTATAAATATATAATTTATAATTTATCATTATATAAATGTGTATAATGGTTGACACTAATAAACGTGTGCCTCGCGAGTGTTACCATATTACTAATAAACATTATCCAAAATTGTTATATGATGTATTTATTTTTACTTAAATGTTATCTTGTACAGTAGCAAATAGGTTTTACTTCAATCGCGTGTGATCCTTACGCGCACTTTTTTTATTTATTTATTTTATTCATTTCTTGTTTAAGAGTGTATCATCTATGTTATGAAATATGATTTAAAATGTTTATGCATTGCACTCGTACTGGATATAAAGTGCGCACGTGTGAGTTGGCATTTTGAAGCAGCCCGTGGCGGCTGTCACCTGCAAAGACCGATCTCAAACCTCAGACTTGGATCGAGAAATGGGTCGCTCTAACATACCTTACTTGCCATCGCAACATATTGTAAAACACATGGGAAATGGAATGAAAACTGTAATGTAAATAGATTCGAAAGCAGTACTTATCTTAAGGAAAAAACTTATTAATGAGAAACCATTGGGCAGGGAATAAATCAAGATGATACAATTTTGGAGTTAAAGTTAGCGGAATTGATGCCAGAGTTTCGAAGAAAATATTTTGATGTTAAAATGTGTTTGAAAAAAAAATCGATATAATATATAACTAAAATAAGGTACTCAAATACCCATATGCAAACCATATATTATAATATAATTAGGTACCCGGAAGAGGTGTTAGAAATTATTAGAAAAAAATTATTATGCTGTTAGAGGAACAAGCAAAAACAATGAGGCAATAGGAGTAACTTTAAAAACTATTTAATATATTAAATTTAGAAGTATTTATGCGTTTATGTAGATTTATGTATTTATATATTATTACGATTATAAGTCCTTTTCCTCAGCTGGTTCCGACTCTGAGGTCGCCTCTGCTTTTGACTTGTACATATAATTGAAATTTATGTTCGTGAAA